GATCTTCCTCTTCATGTTCACCTTTACTGCGCACCGTGCACATCTGGGCAAAGCCGGAGCGATGTTTGAGCGTCCCCAACTCCAGCGTGCTACTGCCTGGATCGGATTCATGGGCTTCATCATCGGTACGTTCTTTGCGGTCGACACAAGATTTCGGTTGCTCATGTATTGGACTTACAGGTATCACCTCCTTCCTTGTGCTCTTTATGTGGTTTACGAAGGCAGTTGACGACTTCAACGACGACATTGAAAAGGATGGCAGTGATGCCCCCAAATTGATCGCTGCTACTAGCAATGGCTTCATCAGTGAGTCGTCACTAGCCCCTTTCCCGATGTTGCTGACAACTGTTCAGTGGTATGGGTCGGATATGCTTTCTACGCGGTTCCGCTCGTCAGTTCACTATCCAAGTTGCATGTCATGACTTCCGGGGGCAAGGCGTAAAACTAGTTGCAGCAGTGCTTGCAATTATGGATTTCTATCCAGTCGGACATTGCTTGGGATTAATGTAGCTCTAGATTATGGGGATACATACCCCGCATCTGTATCCTCTAATTCTCGCCTTGTATTGCCCAAAGGGCCATAATAAAGTGCCGTTCACATTTCCCAGCAGTCTGCCGAACGACCAGGGTTTGCATCAAACGTCCACCGTCGAATATGTAGGGTTCCGGGAAATGCAGTAAAGAATGATGCAGCGTGTAGGACTATATATTGAGGACCAGCATGATACACAACAACGTAAACATCCACTACAGGCAATCAGAACGCAGTTGGCTGTTCGTACGGCTGCTGGTACGCATCCGGCGGTGCCTCGTAAGCGGCCTGCTCTTCCACTGGAGGTGCTGGTGCCGAGATGATAGCAGGCTCGCGCTGTTCGGAGGTGGGCTCCGCAACAATCTTATCGAGAGGGGGCTCGAGGATCTGGACGGAGTCGGGGAGAGGCTTGCGGGGACCAAGCTGGCCCTCGGGGTCCCAGCCCTTCATGCTGCACAGACTGTCAGCGAACATTCGAATGATGCTAGGACGGTGTTGCGCACATTTTGACCTTGATACCAAGCACACCTTGCCTGAGCATGACGTGCCTGACGGCGTAGTCAACGTAGTCGACAGCAGGCTGACCGGAGTGGATCATGAATCCATCGGTGAACTTCATGGACTTGGCACGGGCAGCGCGGAGCTTTCCAGAGACGACAACCTCACAACCCTTCGCACCAGACTCCATGACGAAGCGGAGCACACCATAGCAGGCTCTGTAGCCAATGCTTTGAGTATATTGTGAGTCAAGCTGGCGCTGAAGCGTACCTGCGAACAGCAAGACCACCAAGGAGCTTGTACCTCAGACTCTCGCACTGCGCAATAGCAGAGAGACCACGGTACTGAACCTTCTCGGCGTACAGCTCGAGAGAGTTCTCGGGGAACTTGAAGCGCTTCTGCACGAGGGCAGTAAGCTCACGGATGCGGCGACCCTTCTCACCCAAAACTTCCTGGGTGTGGGTGGCACGAATGATAATCTGTGCGGTTGTGTAAATTCAGCGAGGTGGAAATGCTTGGTTGCAGACGGGAACGCACTTCAGTGCGGGCGTGGGTAACCCGTACATCACAGCCAGAGTAACCCTCCTCGGACAGCTCGCGAGTGAAGAAGTCGTTAAGCTCCGCGCGGAAGACACCGTCGGCGACGAACTTGCGCTTCTTGCTGATTTGGGCGGCCATTTTCTTGTACGAGGAGCCTGGGGGAAGACGAGAGTCAGTCCGTGTGAGCGTCATCCGATCGAAGAAGATGCCATCCAGCTCTTGCTACACTCATTCCCCTCTGAATGACGCAGGGAAGCCGGTAGATGGTAATATAGAGCTTGAATACACACCTTGAGGAATAAGACAGATGTCCGGACGTCGAGAGTCTTGACGACGACTTGCGTAGATCGCTGGCCTCGCTTGAGAACGATCGCTCTGAATCCTCGTGCGGCCGTGACAAATGTGACAACGCTCTTGTCACTCGATAGGCGCCGTAGAAACTGCTGCTTCAGCCTGCGGCTGCAGAAGGCTCATTCATAAATCATGATTAATTGATTACTTGAAGCAATTCAATCTCTCGTGTAATACTGCATTTGTATCATGACCCATGACGTTCGCTGACAGCAGTAACTGGACAACACTCCAGTGTACTCAAGCACTAATTTAACGAGCTTCGTTCACGAAGATGCCCGCACCTCCCATCCCACTCCCGATGCACATGCTAGTGCATAATATGCTTCCGCCTCTGCGCTTCAGCTCCGCGAGCCCTGTGACAACTTGGCGCGTACCAGCTACACAGAATGTCTTTCAGATCGCTATGCAAGTGGCATGTCCTTTGACTTACTCATGCCGAGGGGATGCGTGAGAGCGATAGATCCTCCACTGGAAAAGGCAGATACTAAATCGAAGCACACAGATGTCTTCGTGACGGTAAGACTTACTTTGGATTGATCTTTTCGATAGGAATTCGCAGTTGCTCTACGCAATAAGCAAACTGCGATGCAAACGCCTCGTTGATCTGAGCCATATTGAGTGTGTGCGTTCAACGCGGCGGCAGATAATCGACTGACCTCATAGACGTCAACGTCCTCTTTGGACAACCCAGCTTGAGACAACACCTTGGGTACAGCAGCGACCGGCGCAATACCCATGTACCGAGGCTCCACACCTTGTTTTCCATGAGCGACCAGTTCTCGTGACGGCATATACTCAGCAGAAGACCCACTTACCAACGAAGGTACTAGTGACATACTTGCCAAGAATATGGAACCCTTCCTTCTCCGCACGCTCGCGGGTTGTCAATATGCATAGCGCTGCGCCATCTCCTAGACCGCTCGCATTACCAGCAGTCGTAGAAGCCTCACCCCAATCAGGGAACGATGGCTTCAGCTTGGACAACCCCTCTAAAGTTGTACCCGGACGAATAGTGTCATCCACCGATACCACTTCGCCTCGCAACTCCACGGGTATGATCTCCTCAGCGAAGATACCCGACTTAGTGGCCTACGAGTAGTAGCCAAAATGAGTGGGATTTGGATGTTTACTTGATCTACACGAGAACCTCACCTTTTCAGCTCGAGTGTGCGAAATTAGAGCGTACTCATCCTGCTTCTGCCTCGGGACCTGATAAGTCTGCGCAACCATTTCAGATGTCCATCCCATGGGTTGCACACAGTCGTGCGCTTGTGAATTGGCATCTACTGGTGGTACTATCTCAGGAGTTGGTCTGGGGCTGCAGAAGATGTTCATGGGTTCAAAGAGGCAGCGCGAGGACAATAACATACTTCTGTGACATGCTCTCAGCACCGACCGCCATTCCAAGAGTCATATTGCCGGCCTGGATCGCGCTCGCGATAATCCTGATAGCCTGCAGGCCAGAGCCACAAAGTCGGTTCACGGCAGACACAGGCACATCCGCCGGTACTCCAGCAGCAAGAGCAGCTGCTCGAGAGATGTACGTCGGTGACGGAGGGTGACAAGTCCCTAATAGGCGTAGTATGAACTAGACACATCGCGATGAACACAGGAGGGATACGGACCTACGCATATGTCCTCTAGCATAGCTGGATCGAGCTGAGTCTGAACCAAGGTCGTCTATTGTAGTGGTCAATTGACTTTCTGCACTGACTCGACACTACTACTGACCTTGATGAGAGCCTGCATAAGCTCGTCGACAGGGATGTCCTTTAGCTGACCCTTCCTCGCGCGTGCCATAGCAGTACGCTTTGCGAATGTTATGACTACATCGTCTGGTTTCTTCTCGAGTAGAGCAGGGAGTCCTCGCGCATGCGTCGCCATCGAGCGGGTGAGCGGGCTTGTAGCTCGCCGGGCCAATCTAAACAACATAGTGAATGCAGGGGATGCTATACATCGTGTAATGGACGTTGGAAAGGCATATATGTATAATCATCATGACCGAGTTTGGTTGTACACTCCCCACACGACAAGGTCATCCGGTTCGAAGTGAGAATCGGCCATCGGGGCGGTCACTTCCGACGGCAACCTCGTGCACTGGCGCCCTTTCGCGTCCTCCGCTTCTTCATGGCGAGTCAGCTTACCCCGCAGACACAATCGGATGTCATGTGGCCTTGATGGGGCCCATTGGCCGCTCGTGTACGTATCAGGTACAAATGAGAAGGATGGCCACTAGGGATCCACCGTCAATGTAATATATTATACTCGGGATGCAGACGAGGCCAACAGCTAGTACACAGAAGCTGGCAGCATGAGCATGCATAGGCCAGGAACTGTTCCGTGCCTTTTGGCAGACGTAACGTCGTATAACTCGCGTATGACAATCGCACCAACGCAGAGGCTCCAGCATGTACAGCAATCACCGCGAGAAGGCGCACTTCGCGATCCAAGAGAACGCTATCGACCTGGTGAGCATGAGGTACTAAGACGTTTCGCTAGCAACAATCTGACATACTATGGAGCCACGATCATTGCATTCCAATCGTAGGGACGTCATCGCCTTCTTGCTGTGACTTTGATTTCCACGCACGATTCACCGAGGAATAGCATTCAGGGCAAATATGGTGCGCCAGTTTTGGCGAACCACAGCCCGGACAGTGAACGACGTCTATCGGTAAGAGGCACATGAGAGCGAACGCATCTACCGGAAACTTCTAGACATACTCCGCTTATCTTTCAAGCCTTTATTTGCACTGCGCATGGCTTTGCGTGAGTGGGACGTCTTCTTCTTGGGTACAGCAAGCAGAAACGGGGGAAATAGCTCGAGTACCGAAGCTAGACTTGGTATTCTCCACTCGAGGGACCGGGGGAGTAGAGAAGGTATCAGTGTAGCCACAGAAAGTAGAGGGCGAGAGAATGGCATGCGAAGGCTGGGCCATAGCACGCGGGACTGCTGTAATGCAATGGCCGCCATAGTCGTCGAGGTCGAAGTGGCACTCGGGAGTCGATTGGAGCGCCTGATTTCATTGAATATTGTGCCGCTAGATATAAATACCAGCGGGTGAATATCCGACGAGCTGCGATGGCCGAGTCGTTAAGGCGAGTGATTTGAACCACTCTATATCACTTGGGATTTTCCCGCGTAGGTTCAAATCCTGCTCGCAGCGTGCTATTTTCCTATTTCATGCCATTTAGCGGTAGCCAGAAATATTCCTATAATTCACTTGCTACTGTGTCTACTTTTAGAATACGATACGGCGAGCTGTCCAGCCACGTAACTTCAATGGGCTTTTGTCAAGTCGCGCACGAAGTCTTCTCGTTTTCCCTCGACCTTGGACACTTGACGTCATCGTCACACCGACCCATTGATACTTACACAAACATAGCAGACCACTACCAGTATTGTCGAGTCTGTCGAATTCGACAACTACGATACGGCGACACGCGCAGGACACTGGCACAGCCAGAGTGCACCGAGTCTTGAGGATCAGTAGTCACGCAAGAAAAGTGTAGCTCAGAAGGGTGCATAGTCAATGGTCTAGAATGTAGTATCAGAAACATTGAGTGAGCAGTTCTGTAACAGAACGCAATGCCACGAGATCCACGGCATCAATCAACAAGGTTTATATGCTGAGAGCAATAAGAACACCTACGGTCCTACTGGTACATTTATGACGATGACGCAGTTGCAGCCTTGCCAAAGTACTCCCACTGTCCAGGCTCTGGCTTCTCGATGAGGGGGTCCCATCTACGCATGTGTTCAGTCTCGTCTGCAAACATGCGATGGACGGGTAAACATACGCCTTCCACTCAACCATCTTGGACACCAGGCCTAGCTCATCTGTCGCGATATCCAACGACTCCTCTATGTGGCCCTCGTCCAGTTGCTTCTCGACCTCTGTAATATTCCCATCCGCCGCCTGCACAATTTTGAGCTTGTGCTTCGTGAGTGCCTCCACACCTTGCCGGTAGACGGAGGTCTCAGGGATAGCGGAGAGCTTGTCCAGCGTGGTCTTGTATGTCTGAATCAGATGAGGAATGGGGTCATGGTGAACGTCAAGACCCGTGATGCCAGTAGTGGTTTTCCGGAGCTGGTTGAAAAGAGGACGCGTGAGGCGGAACATGGCGGTGGGATGAAAGCCGACTGCACAACGGCTATACAACGGCTATACTGTAGCTCGTCATTTCGCGAGACTCGGAGACCGCGCCAATGAGTTGGCGTCTACTGAAAAGGCAAGTTCGCCGAGCGCAAACTGCGTCTGTCCTAACTTACTTCAAGTCGATCTTTCTCTGCGTCGTGCTTTCTCACTCATCGTAACCACTACCGCCCCTTGGTGGGCCACTCAACAAGCATGGACTCACTCATACCATTTACAACATCTGGCTCGCTTGTGGATTGCGTCGACAGTACGTCTGTCCCAAGTAAACTCCAAGATCAGCCATCCATCCTGAGCTCCTGATCCTACAAACCTATTTCGTCCATATTGTCCGGCATTGGCCAGGGAAGATGCTGGTTGTTCTACGAGACGGTCGAAAGCTCCAAGGGGTTCTCCGTTCGTATGACCAATTTGGTGCGAACTCATGTTTAACCGCGTACTCATTCTGTACATTGATACCTTCAACGTTGTAGCGAATCTAGTGTTGGAGGACACTTATGAGCGGATATACTACCGCGACGTGTTCGCAGAGATGTGGAAAGGACTATTTCTGATACGTGGCGAAAATGTTGTGTTGCTCGGCGAAGTCGTACGTATACAGTGGGTTCGGCTATAGCACATCGCTTACCTCTGAAGTCAGGATTTGGATAAAGAGGACGACGTACCTCTAAGACAGGTTCCATGGGAAGACTTGCTACCGTACCACGGACAGGAGATCGCAGCGAAGAAGAAGCGAGAGGAGACGAAAGCGCAAGTCCTCTTCGAGCAAAAGGGGTTCTGCAAAGAGGGTGGTGAGGGTGATGGCTATTGATTAGTTCGAGGCCTTGAGGAGCCCTACGTGCTTCCTCTGTGTGAGTGTTTTCCAGGATGAGCTCAGCAAATTGGCAGATTCATTACGCCAAGAGCCATCCCTGCTTTCGTCGTGTCGTATATTCAATTGCATCACCTACATATTGTCGTGTCTGCGTACAGTGGGTGAGTGTGCAAGTGCAACGATTACTCTACAAATCGATCATATGCAGCGAGAAAGAGATGACAGCGCAAAGCGTAAAAGCAAGGATATACGACTAAATAATGATACACCTATATTTTCTTCTTCTTACCCTTCTTTGCTGACTCGCCATTGACCTTCGATCTCGCATGCCCGTTCGTCACTGTCTTGCCGTTCAAACGCTGTAACGGCGACCCGGCGGTAGGTCCTGTAGGATCAGTAGCAGAGGTTCCAGCGGTGGGATTCACGACGTCTTCAATGCGCTTGCGAATCTCCCGCTCCTGCGTCGTAAGCTTAGATAGAACGCCATCGAGGGCTTCCTTGTCACAGTCAACCTCAGTCAAGCGCAGCTTCTGCCAACTGCGGAGGGGCCGTCAAAATGACAGACGTAGTTATGCTTCCACCATGACTCACCCAGCATGTCGGGCACATTTCTTCTGCCCTCTGCACCACCACTCGCCCTCTTCAGTCTGAGTACCGTCCATCTGCATCGCATCGGCGACCGACTGATCCACTTCTTCGTAACTTTCCAGCACGCTCGCACCAAACTCGGCGTACTCCTCTTCGCCGAAACAAAGGCGCTGGTCCCACCCACACTCATCCACTTGCTCCGCGCGGGCAACAGCCAGCTCAATCAGCTTCTCCCGCCAAAGCAAGACATCCATCTCCTTCTTCAGCTCATCTCGCCTGCAGGAGATCTTGTCCAGTAATCCGTTCAGCCGCTCTCTCTCGCGCTCGACCTTTGTCCGAGAAGGCTTGACAACTTCTAGGATGGGCTGCGCAGAACTGGGAGCGGGAGACATGTAGTCATTGCCTGTCGCCTTGTTGCCATTGTCAGAGGCATCCTTCACAAGGACGACAACGCCCTCGCGCTTGGGTGCGTTCTTGACGCTCTCCCATAGGCTGTCCTTGTCTCCTCGCCATGCATGAATACGAGCCTGCATGTGGAGGATGCCACATTCGTCCGAGCAGTACTTGGAGTACGTGCCCCGCGCGGGACGATGGCAGGCGCTAGGCGACGACGGGTCCGGATGGTTGAGGCCATTGAAGCAGCGCTTCTTGTATGTGGTCTGCAAACGGAGATGCGGATTGTCTGACGAAACCGATCAGAACGCGTGTGACGATGAACTATGTTCACATCTTACTTCGAACACACAGAGGGCATATGAATTGGTCCACCAAATCAATCTCAAGTTCCGGCATGTTGACGCATTGCGTGTGATACCACTCGTCGCATCTGTCCAGTACATCGTCATCTATAATTAATAGAGACGCATAGTTCGAGGAAATCACATGGCCTCACCGATCACACGCAATCATTGCCCGATCCTCATCATACCGCGTCTTGCAAATGCAATACAGCTTGTCGTCTTGGTTTTGCTCCTTCACTTCACCCGGGTCCGCAATCTCAGAAGTAGGCTTTCCGTCTCCTTCTGTCACAGGTGCAGTGGGCATGGCAGACGTAGACCTCGACCGCGACTGCCCACCGGCAGCAGACACAGGTCGCTTCGTAGCGGGGTTCGCGCTAGACGCCGCAGTGTTTTTCTTACCCTTCGCGGAAAACGTTGACGTGGAAGGCGTAAGCATTCCAAGGGTCGGGTTCGGTGCTGAAGAGACTGCATCCTTGGCGACCTTGCTCTTCGTCTTCGTGGTTGTCGTCGTTGCAGCCTTCGGCTTGGGCTTGGGCGGAGCTTTCTGCTTCGGAACGGGCTGGAGAGACCAATCAGCTTGGAAATTAGAGTATTGAACAAAGCAGGCCGCAGCTCACCTTTTGCGACGGATCCTTTTTTCTGTGTCCTGCGACCGCACTGGCACCGCCAAAGCTGTCACCTGTGCTCGGCGGATGAGGTGTTCCACCGTCCTTGACAGGCGATGCAGGGGGCGGCATCGAACCTCGCTCACTGGCTGGCTGAGACAGCGAGGACTTCGTCCGCGAATGTATGTCAAATTTGGGGATGTTCGCTGGCTTTGGACGAGAGGTGTGCGGCACCGGGGGCACGTCATCAACCAAGCTGAGCAGTTCGTTATCGACGTCGTTGTCGTCGGTAACGCCGCCGCCGACCGATGGGGCCATCACTGGCGAGGCAACATCAAGGATCAATTCATCGTCGATAGATGATGCGATGGTGTAGCTTGCAGGTAGTACGCTGTCCAGTTCTTCCTCTAGCATGGCCAAAGGCGTAGGCGTGCGACTCCTGGCTTTCTTGGTGTCTTTGCTCGGGCGAGTAACCCCAGACTCATCAATATGGTGACGCCCACGATGCCCTTCCTCTGCTTTGACAGCGCGAGAAGAGGATGCTGGAAGCGCCGTCGTCGTTGGACTTGTTGCTGCCTTGTTGCCACTCGACGAAGACGCTGGGTCCACCCTTGGGGATGTTGAAGCGTAGTGCTCGAGGAGCCATTCATGGGCGTCCTGGTCCCCAGCATTCGCTTCTGTCTCTCTCGCAACTGAAGCCGTACGACGCTTCTGTTCACTTGCGCGCTTCTCCTTGGATTTCTGCTCGCGCTTCTTCTTCTCCTTTTCCCTCATTTTATCTTCCTTCTCTCTGACCCTATCTTTCTCACCCACACGCGCAGAACTGCCGTCCACTGCATCCAGAATCTGCTCTTCTAATGTCTCGTCGCGAGGTTGGGGACCTACGGCAGGGCGCACCTCCAGCACCTCGGCATCGCTCGTCGAACCACCAACTTCATGCGGCGCTACCGGTATGGACGTCGTGCGAAGATCGTCATCAATAACGGTACCGGTCTTCTTGTCATTTACGGTGGGTGAGAGGACTTGCGTAACTTCGGTAGGAGAGGCAGGTACAGCCACGTCGCACGGAGTGATGGGCTGCTGAATGACCATAGGCGACGGAGACGAGTTAGGAACACCAGAGCTCTTGCGCCGTTTCCTGGGGGGCTCGCCGTCGGAATCTTGTATGCGAAGAGGCGACGCGGAGACATCGTCGTTGAGGATATCACGACGCCCTCCGAATGACGTCCGCACAGCAAAGGGCGACAATGGCTTTGTGGCAGC